ATGTAAGCAGTGCCATGTGCATTAGGTCCATATTAAACCACAGCCTCCTGGCCTCTGTCATTAGGGTATTGTTAAAGGTCTGACAAACCACAGCTACAAGGAATTTCAGATATCAGAATGAACATCTTTACTTATCACTTTGTGCCTAGATATAATTCATGGACTGTATTAACGATAGGCCAATAATTCTGTCTTTGTAGGTTTAATATAAAACCATTAAAATAGATTGTATCTTAAAAAAGTAAGTAAACATTAAGGATGTTGTGAATACATACATATATATTACACAGAACTGTTTATAGTATGTGGTGTTTTTTCCCAACATGTGGGGGGCAAAATGGTTTTGATTACCTCACTAAAACACAAATGAAGAAATATTGACCATTCAGTCAGGAGTTGCAGGCATTGGACTGTATGATGAGGACCTCCCAAATACAGCTGAAGAAAATTTACTTCATAAATAATGCTCTGCCCATTAAGGCAAAGACAATCAACTGACACTTCACAGGATGCAATACGAAAAAACAAAGTGGCCCGCATGATGACATGGAAATTATAGCAATAGTACAAAATGAAGAGGAAACATTAATGAACAAAAAGTTCTCTTTTCTCAATATATCATATTGTTTAATAGTTCAGATTTTTCCTCCTATTTTGAAGCATTCCATCGCATTCATGATTCACTTACATGAACGGAAGGTAAACAGATGTACTGAAATCTCTCACTACAGTATCTCACAGTTGTTTATTTTAATTTCTGGCCTATGCTATGATCCATACTTAATGGATCCTCTGTTTTTATGCCATTTTGATTATATCAGCATGTATTTTAGTCATTGATCAGCAGCTCCATTTGTCTTTTATATCACAATTTGACATCAATGCAAGAAATAGAATGAGACGCAAACAAAATTATATAAATTACTGAATAATAGTTGATCATTAATTATATTTGTGACACATGACTTGTCAGAATCAGATTTAACAGTAGGTAATGAATGCTTCTTTGTACTTCCATAAATTTGACAGAAAAAGGTTGCTTTCAAAGCTAAAAAAAATTTGAAATTATCAGCTGCTAATCACATCTAAGGATTATTGGTCTTTCTGACTAAGAAGTTAGGGATGATACTAGATGCCTCTTTATAGTTACTGTTGTCAGTGACTTGGTGAACTGAGGTGGATCTTTAGTAAACAGTGCTTCTAACAAAACCCTGTTGTAATGTTCTCAAAACTCAGCTTGGTCCCAGGGAGTTACTTTTCCAGTTGTTACTTCCTACTGTACAGACACCAGAGCAGCAATGAAGAAATCAACCGTACCACTCACTACTTGGCTGAGCAAAATCTGGGTAAACTCACCTCATAACATTCAATTTGACACCAGGCTCAAAATGAAGTGTTTTAATGCAGATGTTAACCCAAACAAAAGAGCTCAAACATGTTTTCATTTAGCAACATTAAAATGTAGTCATTTTTGACCAAAATAAAGACATTTTAAAATAAATTTTCCAGTTTAGTTTGCTGAAACATTTCAGCATTAAATAGCATTCCCCCTGATCCCCCTTCCCCCTTTTTTAAACATGCTGGTATGTGGTTAGACTCCTTTAACTCCACTGAAGTACTAAAAAAGAGTGAAGAAAGGGATATGATTCTCCAGAGCCACAACAGCTATCCACATTAAATACAGAGCATTGTAGGACTGCAATTGTTGCTTTATTAAAAATCACAGGAAAGAAAACATTTCAAGTTCACCCAAATAATTGATATATTCTCAGCTGGACTGAAGCAGATATTTCACTTTGACTTTTATAGCAGAAATGTTGAAACTTAGGAAAACTTTGTTCTCTGTCCAAAACTGCCCCCAACAGCCAACAAAAAAATTCCTCAACAAATTTTCTGGAGTGACAAAGATTATTTTTAAATAAAGGAAAGAAAGGTACTGTAAGAAATCAAAACAAAAGGTCATTCAGATATCCAAAAGTAACCAAAAGGAATGTTTTGGCAGAAATGAACTTATCTCTACCACAGTCTGATGAAGCTTTTCAGATTTTTAGTACTTGCTTATCTTTGTTAATACGCTCAAGCATGCATATATCTTCTGAGAGTTCTGCTTTAATGGCAGAGCTTTAATGGCTCAGCTGACAGGATATGTTAAAAGACACCAAAAAATTAGTAGCAAGTTTGAGCTCCGTGAACAATGCTATGCATTTTAAGACTTCAAAAAATGCAAGACTGATCTATATATTAAAACAACCCAAATAAAAAAATGTGGAAAAATGACAAATCATTAAACAGCACACCCCACAACACTGCCAAATGTGAGATAAGCTTCATAAGAAATGAAACATTTTCAGATAGAGAACTTCAACTCAATACTTATTTTCCAGTTCTCTATTCTATCTTTTACCTTAAAAGTTGTTTATAAATTATAAACGAAAAGATTCCCAGGAAATAAAGTCAGAGTAGCACTAACCTGATGATTTATATATTGCTGTAGTAACATAAAAAACAGGAACAGTTATAGGCATGCTTACATATGAATAAATGTATATGTAGGTGGAAGAGGGTATGCTTATGATGGGATTCTCTTTACTAAAGCAATCTTGGCTAAATTTTGATTTTCCTCATGACAAGGCAAACATAGTGAGACTTGAGTAATACTACAACCAAATCTGTGCACCATCCCTGCTTTCTAATCCAAACATTTCACCTTGTGAACAATCAGTGTTAAAAGAAATACAGTTTGTTTTTCCACTCCTGCACATTGCTTCCACTAAATTTAAGGTGTAAATTTAGTAAATTGATTAAAGAAAAGCGTATGATAAATAGGAGTAATTTTCCCTTTTCAAAGCAATGTGTGACTTCTTTTCATTATAGTTTCATGAGATTTTCCTGAATTCCATGAGGGCAAATACTTTCTTTTTAGAATTAGTTTCATTAGGAATTCAATACAATATATAAAATAAATGTGAATATTTGTTCTGGGCTACTTTTTTATTTGTTTTGTAAGCTGAAAAGATCATAAGTTATTTTCAATACAGCAGTTGATTCCATATGTGCAGAATTAATATGAATATTGTAGTATAACCTTTATTACAGAATAAACTGACTTTGGTAAGACATTGAATGGTGTAGAAAGTTGTACATTTTCTGAATTACTGACTTTTAGGGAAAACATACAGAAAGCATTGTTAAAATGGGTATTTTTGTAATATATTTATAACTTGGCAAAAAATCAACCACTCTTCACTTTTGCACAGTGACTGAAGTTCATTGCAAAATAGTTTTGTGCTCTCACTAATCCATTTTGAAAACTGGAAATTTAGGAGTTTATTACTCTCCTGGCCAAAATTTTTAATTTGATAGTCTGATTCAATCAATGATTTGAAACATTTTTTGTGTGCTACAACTCTCTTTAAGTTTAAAGAACTTTGTCCCAGATGTTTATCCACTGATGCACCTTGAGAAAACCAATGTATTTGCTCATATTCAGACCACTTGCTCTCGGATACATTAGGACAAATCCAACAAGACGTACTGCAGACTGCACTTCTTTCTCTTCTACTGATAGTGCATGATCACAAAAAATGCTTAATTTAGAAGACAATACTTTAGTTGCTTTAAGGAGGATAGTCTAAGATTGTTTAGTATCTTCTGTATCATATACATTTTAACAACGACCAGACCATGTCCCTGAGAGCAGTGTCCGAATGCTTCTTGAGCTCCGTCAGGATGCTGCTGTGACCCCTTCTGTGGGCAGCCTGTTCCAGTGCTCAAACACCGTCTGGGTGAAGAATCTTTTCCTGATATCCAACCTAAACCTCCCCTGACACAGCCTCAGATTCGCTCGGGTTCTGTCACTGCCCGGACAGAGCAGAGACCAGTGCGTGCCCCTCCTCTTCCCCTCACAAGGAAGCTGTAACTGCACTGAGGTCTCCCCTCAGTCTCCTCCTGTCCAGGCTGAGCAGACCAAGCGATCTCAGCTGCTCCTCATATGGATTCCTCTCTAGCCCTTTCACCCTCAGCAGTATTAGCTTATAGAAGCCAATTACTTTTTTTTTTTTTAACCATTTTACCATTACATTTGTGTTTTGAAACTACACTAGACAGTTCTAGTTCCAACAGTGAAGATCCACCCTTTTTTTCTGTGCTAGAGGATACATCCATATTTTTTACACTCAGGTTTCATCATATTGGATGCATTTTTCATAAAACAGGATTATTAATTTCTAAGGTCTGGGAAGTTTCAAACTACTTCAATTTATTTAGAATGCAGGACATTATTTTCCAGAAACCACAATGTGACTAAACCTAAACATTTTGTCTGTTTTGCATTTTACTTGCTAACAATAAAATTATCACTTTCAATTACAATAAATTAAATTCAAATTAACTTTGTAATATACAGTGAGACTGAAATAAGCACTAAGATTAAGCATCTACAAAGCATGTAATTATTTTTAGTAAACAATATATTTAGTAAACATTATTTGCTTTGAATAACTCAACTGATTCAAAATAATTCTACTTTGAAGTCATCTGGGTATATCAAAGGGTTAATTTAAGCAGGAAAATAAATTTTTGACATATGACTAGATAACATGTGACTTGGTAATAAAAAATGCAAGTTTTTCTTCTGCTGTTTCTTTTCCAGATTAATGAAACCTTTATGTTTGGTATTAAGTTGTGTCTTGATTTTTTCCATTACTGCTGTCAGGCTACTTTTCCACCCCCAGATACTGCTTGGAATACTGCTCTAAGATAAGTGATTTTACTAGCGGGACCATAACAAGAATGATTTGCTTACACAGATATGGCTATGGTGGTCTGCTGCTATGAAATACCCAGGCTAGAGCTAGGGCATGGAGCTGAAGTACACAGACTAAGGGCAAGTGAAGACCAGACTGAAAATACTGCTGTTTCTCAAAGCTGTTATTAAGAAATCAGGAGCACATAAATAGGAATTTCTCCCTACTTCCCCACTTCTTTTTTTTTTTTCTTTCCAGGATACATCAAGTGTTCTCTGTCCTGTTTACAAACTCAATTTTTCAAAAGAGAAACCAAACAGTACATTTTCTAGTTTTCATGAGTCTGAGTCTTAATTTCATGGGTCTGAGCCTTTCTTTACTGACATCACATAAACATAGGAAGGCGACAATAATGTTGCTAGACCAATGCCCAACACCAAACTTTTATGAAATTGGGCCTCTGTAAAAATTCCCATTCCACATACTTAGGGAGTAATGAGGGATAGTAATTGTTCAGATTGTAGCTTTTATACTTCTTTCTAAGCAGGAGAAGCAGCAAATATTATTCTAGCCTGCTGACGGTCCTCCTTATGGTTATCAATGCACTTCAGTAAATGGTAGAGAAATGTGGTCACACACTCCCATGTGCTCATGAAGTCCCTGGTACCTAACTCATACTCTTGATGTGGGGTCCTATGGAAATCTATTTGCACTTGCTGACTGCAACACAAAGTAGCATGCATGGAATCAAAGTCTTGTAATAGGTCCTGTTTTCCAGCTACTCAATAACTTCTCAGGATTTACAAAACTAAGCCACAGTCTTCTCACAGCAAGAGCTGCAACTATTCCAATCAATCTGTGAATTCAGGCTTAGATTAGTTCTCTGGTGAGATGGTCACACTTGTAACTGACAAAATATATCACTTATAGGCCCCAAATTCCAACATGGAAGTAAAACCTTGAATTCAGATTGCAAGATGTGGAATCACAGGCAACTTGTCTCCTGGTAAAGATGTGAATTAGTTTTCAAAACTCAGGTGATTAGGGTCCAATATGATTAGCAGACAATAGGTAAACCCACAGTAGTCAGTTACTGCATATTTTCTAACAATAAATCTTATTGTAAATATTTCCCAGTTAATGATTTTGATTAAAAAAACAACTAGCATTCAAGCTAACTATAAATTACATCTTGGTATTTAGGTAAATGGAACACATACAAGCAAAATCTTAGAACTGAACAAATACAATAATAATAGTTAAAAAAACATTGTTCCAGGGCAAAATTACTCAACATCTACCCTCAAAACAAAGCACAATTATACACACCACACTTTGAATTATAAAGCATTTAAAGCCTGTTAGTCAGTTAAATGGGAGGAAAAAAATCTGCATTAAAGCTTTAAGGGACACTTTGGAACAATAACATCCTCATTAAAAAATAAGGATACATCAAAATTGTTCAGTAAAAGGTTAAGTGTTAGTCTCTGCGTAGTTGATAAATGTTGGGCTAATCTAATCAGTGGCTGTAAGAGGCAATGCCATCAGCTAGTTGCCCTGACCTGTGCTTCCTACGTTTTTACGAAAGTCAGATTTAAGAAAGATGTAAACTTCAGGCCTTTGACCTAGCAAGGACCTTGTTCGTGCCAGCCTGGTGTTCTGCTAAACAGACTGAGAACTTTCAGCTGAAATCAGGAACATGTGCACTTCACTAATACAACACATGACTTGGAAATTAAAATGCAACGTGATCAAGTGCTTTAGGATATTTTAACAGTTAAGAATGCAGCTAAGGGGAAAAAAAAGCTTATATCTGTGTTTTGATTTAGGAAGGGAGAAAAGGACAAATTAAATTGCATTCATTTTCTTAAAATACGTAGGGAAACAAAAATTCAGTTCATTAGTTCAAGCATGACTGACCTAGAGGAAATAAGGAGGTTGTATGTGTCTTTATGACATGTGTCACTTATTAGGTAAGTCAGTATTACTACTTCCAATTGAACTAAGTTAAAACTAATTAGATGGTAGTTAAATTACAATCTAAATATAAGAAACCCAAATAAAAATAGCAAATGGCATTTTAGTTATCAATATTGTTCCTAAATGCAGTTGATTGTTTCCAATAGTATGTGTATTGATTATTTCTAAGTATCTGAGTACCAAGCTTTGCCAGCTGCTGGAAAGGCAGTTGAATACTACATAGTCTAGCTTGGACAGACTTTTCACATATGCCACATTTAATCAGATTAATTTATTTCATTCCATCTTCTACTGATAGTTACATAGTCTCCAGACATTACATATGAATCTGGACTTGTATAAAACATAATCCATCCACCCTTTTTGACTGTTATGGAATGATAATACAGTAAAGTTGACAGGGAGACCTAGGCATCCAGTTTCTAATTACCACCATCATCTCCGATCAGTGCTGAGATCTTACACTTGATAATATTAAAAAGATGCTTGTAGTACCCATGAAGATTATGTATCACTATTTCACAGATTATGTATCATTATTTATCAATAAATGGATCTATATACATATATTTCTTCCATCTCAACTACCTACAAAATAACAGTCTATCTACATTTTTGGCATATATATGCCTGTCTCTTGCATTCCTAGGTTTTAGACTTATGTGGAAACTTGAGTAGGAAGTAAACTGTTCAACTTGGATTAGCCAAAGATGACAATGCTGGGTTAAAGAAACTAAACAAAGTGTTTCTTTATTTTAAAGAAATAAACAGCCACACTACCTTCCATTAAGAAAACATTCTCTTTTTGATACTCAAGCACAGAACACATTAACCTATGGATCTCCATCTTGTATTGGAGGATCAACCAGAAAAAGTGACTTTTGTTGTTTTTTTCCTTCTATCTGGAAGATGCTTCTCCTGATTTTTGAGTACCCGTGTCTATTTAATTAATGGTCAACTTACTTCCTTAGTTTCCTGTGAAACGAAAGCACATATGGAGAAAGCAAATGAATTATTATACTTACTGAATTGGAGGATTTAGAGGATTAAGACTACATAAAGAGAAAGAGCATAACTGTGGAAAGAATGAGGAAAGGGTGATGGATACGGATGGGGGAGCAGGACATGTGACAATAAAGCAGGCTTAACTTTTTGAATATGGCACAGAAAGGTTCTATTCTAAGACCCTTATGCAAGAGAGAAAACAAAAAGCTCTGCACTAGCTTTAAAATCTTCAAGAAACAGAACATTTGGTAAAATGAAGGAATCAGAATTTAAGAAAAACAGTAAAATGAATATATTTACCCTATTTACTAAGAAACAATCCCTGTCAAAAAGGATGTTGATATTTCTCACTAAATCTGTCCTCAATTCATAAACACATTTAAAGAATTCAGGGGCCTGCATCAGGAGGCACAGTGTGGTACTGAAACAATGCTTTAATCATACTTTGACTTTTTATCTCAACAAAAATAAACAGATAAGAACCATTGATATGGAAAAGCCCCTCAACTAACAACACCAATCCAAGAGACTCCTGAAGCCATAGATAAAAAGACCTCCTATCACTGGGACAGAGAACTGATATTGATGCCTGAAAGGTCGTGGTATTTTAAAAAACACGTTGGAAAATCACCTTCTGCTGAGCTGTCACAAAAAAATCACAATTCTTTTGTATCATCAGTAACAGTGTCAAAACCATAGAACCAGAATACATTCAAGAACAAGCATCAGGAAATGAACCTTAAGAAATTTTAACTGTTCAGATGGGAGAAAGGATAGGATCAGAGGCTTATGTTTTATTGGTTTTGTCCATGAGAAATTAAGTACTTTACTTATCCATGAAAAGGATGCAGGCCAAAATCATAAAGAACATGTTAACACTGCTAGCTTGTAATCGATGCAATCACAGTATTGCTATCTAAATCTTTGTTTACTTTTCAACAGATTGGTGTCTGCAGATCATGCTGTCTTACACTGCCATTCCTCTGTAACCTTAACCATTATTCCTACTGTGTAAAGTGAAGCACAAATTTAAGGTGACAAAGCACCAGTTGGCTGATGTGAAGTATGCTACGAAAGCAGAAACCTCTGAAAGCTTCACAGCCATTATGAAATAACTGACCTATATGAAACTGCTACCATGGTTCACAAATTTATTGTCAGGTTCCAGCCTCTAGCTGTTCTCTGATTGTTCTAAATACTTGACAAACTGAAGCCTTTTCACTTTCTGTTGAAATTGCCTCATCTCCCTGTCAGAGCGCCATGGGGGACTCCATTACTTTTCTGACTTCTTTCCCCTACTGACAAGTCATTTAGCTGGCTTCTTGTTGTGAAGGCTGTCCATGTCAAATTAGCCAGGGCCCCTATTGTCCTTATTACCACTCGAAAAGCCATCATGAGTAATGCTACGGGGTCCCTCAGTTGTCATCATTTGTCAGAAAGAAAGGGAGTGTGGTTACATATAGCTGACAGGTAATTTCAGTGTCTACAATTACCCCAATTAGTCTTGTCATAAACAATTCGATAAATGCACACCAATACAAACAGATAAACACACCAAGGTTTCTCACTATTAATGTTATGTAATGGATAAATCAGTGATATAACGCTATATTTTATTTATTTATTTATTTGAACTATTCTCAGCTGCAAGCTGGCAGTTGCTACCTGGTCAGCACAAATTGTACTATCTACTTTCATTAGCTCATCATCACAGAAGAATATGAAAGGCTGTGACAAAATTCATTTAGAGAGAGCACAAAAGAGCAGATTGCCTAAAGCAGGTGTTATAACAAAGATAAAACAAAGGTTTTCTTTGTCAGTTCAATGCCACAATGAGCTTTAAAAGGGACTATTTTGTCCTTAAAAGCAAACATAACATAGGAGAGTAACAGAAAGAGAAAGCAGTGAAATACATTCCTTGCTTCCCACTATTTCCCAAGTCAATCAGCAGGTGGGTCTTCTAATAACATATGCATCAAAGCCTCATTTGCCAAGGTGGTCACAATATTAAGCAAATTATTTCCACATATTTTTTTCTATGTTTTAAAAATATATATATCTTGCAATGCCATACAGCTCCTGAAAGATCTGATAATTATTCCCCATAATATACAACATAATCCTTGATGTTGCTCCACAGAATTATCTGAGAACAGGTTTAGTAATTCCAGCTGCCTGGACAGTCTGGAGCACTGTGCTAAAGTCTTTTGGAACATAAAATATTGATGATGCTGATTGCTCTTCTAAAATGCCAGGTAGACCTGTAACAAACACAACACTGAAAGAGGTAGCTTTAATAACATTTATATTAAGCACTGAATTACACATTGCTAAGCTTATCCTTGTGATCCACCTAAATAAAAATCTTGACATCTCTAGAGTCCATAGCACTCTGTCTGCTTGCTGACCGCAGGCTGAAGTGATGGCTGGAAAACCGAACACAGACATGTTGTTGTAGGAAATTGCTTTTGGCAACTATTTGTTCAAACTCAAGTTTTTTTTAAAACCAGCACTAAGAACCCACCAGAAAACAGGACAGGTCTCCCTAATGAGTAATCTATTTTAGCACAGTCTTGTCTAGGCATGACAGTTTACTGAGAGGCTTGAAAAACTCGTAATTACCAGTGTTACAGGGCAATTAATGTATATTACACTGCACTACTCATGGCAGCAACTGTCATTTTCTCAATAAAAATGAGTACTCTTCAGCTAAAGGTGACATTAATTGGGACTTTAATGACTATGCAGAGGAGCTGAAGCCAAATATGAACAAAACAGCGATTCAATGAGCGACTTCAGAAACGAGAAAATTGTACTAAAATGAGATTAATTGCTGTTTAGAAAAAGGAAAGAACCTAAAAAGCTATTAAATTGCAGGGTTTGGGTGCCCGGGTGATGGTTGTGATGTTAATCTTGCATTCTCACAGCAGGCAAATATTCACTAAATTCAGAGCCTTTTGACAGCAGGAAAAATCATGTATGCTTAACTTCAATCCATCAAAAATATATTTCAGCTTTTATCAGTGTTCTAAATACTTCTGCAATTTCAAAAATTACTGCTCCATTCCTTGGCTGTCATCATGCAAATGCGAACACTGTCAATATTGCTATGAAAAATTCCCTGGCTTCAAAAGGCCTGCTTCGGTGATAAAGAAAGAAAAACGTGAAGATTAGAATTGCAAAACACACACTGCTAATATAACAGAAAGCAACAATAAGAATTTAATGTTTAAGTTGTGAAAACTGCTAAAATAGAAAATGATGGGGTATTGTTTTAGTGTGTGTGGGGGAAAAAAATCAAAGAACTCCCCTACTCTCTCATAAAATCTTTAAAGCTTACAACTTTATAGATAATTACTCATTGCAAATAATTAGGACATAATTTTGCAGCTTTACTTCAGGTGATATAATTATTAAAACTGCTCTGTAGTTTCTAAAAGCCTTTATCTGTGCTACTTAATTCTTTAAAGCACTTATATAATTGCTTTTCTTTATAGCCTTTTTAACTGTCATGATGACTGTATACATAAAACATTGCACTTAAACTCTGACATATAAGAGGGATAAACATAGCTCTGATTCACTATTCACTTTGAAGTTATATCTCCTATAACTTCAGATTTTAAACCAGAAAATCAGTTTATCCTGTCAGGTTAAAAATTGCATATAGAGCATTCACATATCTTAAGAAGCAAAACTTCTCTTCCACCCAAACCCACAATAGTTGCACCCTGGAAGAGACAAAAATAAAGCTCTTAGTTTCTTACAATTTCCTGTTCCATAATCACTTCTGCTCATTCTGCATCTTTAGAATTAAACATCCATTTCATCCACATTTAAAAAAAAAACCCTAGATGCATTAAAATATGCATCTTCAATTGCTTCATCCACTAGGTAATATAATACACAGATTTCAAAGACAATTAATAACATTACATCTATTAAAACCTCTGAAATATTAATGCAGAAATTCCAATATATGTATATAAACATCTTAAGTACAAAAATCATGGGCAAGCAAGGCAGGCACTTAAGTTAGACACTTAAACCAATCACTGTGTGCTGAATAGGGTCCACAAATTGTCATAACATTACTTATTTTGCATGCAGCACTTTGATGATTAGTCATCTCTTTATTACATAGTTCTTACCTAAAATAATTGAAAAATACACAATGTTACCATAGTAACCTTTAAGTTACTCATATGACTAATGAAATTAATTGTATTTCAAATTTAAAATTTGATGACATAGTTTTTTATATGGAACGATTTTTTTGCAAAGGACAAAAACAACAAAGCAATGCATGGGCGCTTCATGCTTGAGTGTTTTTAGTTTGCAGTATAACTTTCCTTCAGGTTTCAATGATTCCTTCAGCATCAATGTCACCAATACATGGATTATGAAACCATACTTTGGTCAGCAGGTTTATGAGACAGTGAAACTCCAATGAAATGGTTTTTGTTAAACTTTTAAAACAAAATTTAGAATTTGTCTCTGAAACAAGATCATCCGGTTGAATTTGATACAAAGCTTTGACAATAATAGTGAATCTCAGAGTACACAAATGCATTATTAGCACCCATGATACTTTTAGAATTTTGTGTTAAAAGGTTTCTTGTGAATTTTTCAGTTACGAGGCTCCTAGTCATTCCTAAATAACAAGAAGATGAACCTCTTGTTTTGAAGTCAAGCCCTGCAAACCAGATATCACAAAGGAGGAACGGTTCCATTAGGAACCATTGACACAAGGAGGTAAAAGTCAAGCCCAATGCAATTAGTGGCTAAGTACTCACTGTCTCTAGAAAAGCAATTATTTCATCTAGAAAATATTATTAAAAAATTAATTTTCCATACTATTTATTGTTCTAGCTCAGGCACCCTGAAAAGGCTGCTGAGGGTAAGGGTAAGTAACAATTATGTGCATTTTATTGTGTTAGTATTTTTCTGGAAGTGGAGAAAAAATGTTC